GAATGGATTTATTGACCACCTTATAAGGGAAGACAGCACTAAAAACATACACAACAAAGTAAACAACCTAAAAACACTGAAATAGCCATCAGAAAGATACAATGGAAGTATTCTATGAAAGAAACTAATAACAAAAACTATGTGCCTAAGGGCACAGAAGACAAAGTGTACAGTGCAGTGGTCTCCCCAGTAATTAAAGATGTTGCCTGCGTGGCCTCCATCTAATGCTGAGGTCAAGAATTGGTGGAGCTGTACCTCCACTCCCGCATATGTCTTTATGACATAGTGCATGTGTGGCCAAAACATGTTGCAACAAGGAATGAACGTATAATTTTAATGACATTTTAAAGTATTTAACAAGCACTTTTCCATCCATGTCTGACGCTCCTTGAAGATTTTTGCAACAAGCTTATTTTTTTACGGTGAGTAGTTGTTAGCCCAATGCCCAACCCCCAAGCTGAAGGACCACTCTTTGTCGACTGTCCACAACTACTTATTCATTATATTCGCAGCTACCCTCCATATCTGGAGGATGTCTCATCCAGCCGCAACCTGAGGACATGCCATGCTGTGGTGACAAAGGACCCACCTATTGGAATGTTAGAAGTATGTATAAGGCAGGTTTGCTCAGGGCAGTGGCAGAAGAAATCTCAAAATAGAAGTTAGATTTAGTGGGAGTACAGGTGATGAGACGGAGCAGAGGTGGCACTGAATCAGCAGGCGAATATACATTTTTCTATGGAAATGGTAATGAAAATCATGAATTAGGTACAGGTTTTTTCATACAAAAGAGAATCATGTCAGTAGTTAAGAGAGTAGAGTTCATTAGTGATAGGATGTCATACATAATACATACTAAGAGGTCGCTGGTGTGATATCATCGTTCTGAATGTACATGACCCAACAGAAAATAAAATTTATGATCTAAAGGACAGGTTTTATGAAGAACTAGAATATGTATTTGATAAATTCCCAAAGTACCATACGAAAATTTTGTTAGGAGATTTCAGTGCCGAAGTAGGTGGGGAAGATATTTTCATACCAACGATTGGGAATGAAAGTTTGCATGAAATTAGTAATGATAATGGAGTTAGAGTAGTAAACTTTACCACATCAAAAAATCTTATCGTCAAAAGTACAATGTTCCCACATGTTAACATTCATAAATGTACTTGGACACCTCCTGATGGGAAGATACAGAATCAAATTGACCATATTTTGATAGACAGGAGACGGCACACAAGTATACTTGATGTCCGATTATTCAGGGCTGCAGATGGTGATACTGACAACTACCTGGTGGTGGCAAAGGTTAGGTAAAGACTAGCAGTGAGTAAGCAAAAAACGCACAGAGTTCATATGGAGAGGTTCAATCTCAAGAAATTAAAAGAGGTAGAGGGTAAGGAGCAGTATCATGTTGAAATCTCAAACAGATTCGCAGCTTTGGAAAACTCATACACTGAGGTGGATGTTAATAAAGCTTGGGAAACTATTAGAGAGAACAAAGACAAAAATAACACCATCCAGTGTGACTATTTAAGTTTTATCACTTGAAACTCATCACCCTTACATGTTTCGATCCCTACGGGTCATCCTCAGAGGGCATCAATACTTTTTCCGGAAACTACTATTACAATAGGTGTTAAATTATATACATACACATATAATGTCTGAAATACACAATGTACACAACTTTTGACAGTCACAGCAGCCTTCCTGGTATTAAAATTTTTAAAGTTTCTTAAAAATTTTGTTAAGATTAATACCAGGAAGGCTGCTGCGACTGTCAAAAGTTGAACATTGTGTATTTTAGACATTATATGTGTATGTATATAATTTAACACCTATTGTAATAGTAGTTTCCGGAAAAAATATTGATGCCCCCTGAGGATGATCCGTAGGGATCGAAACATGTAAGGGTGATGAGTTTCAAGTGATAAAACTTAAATAGTCACACTGGACGGTGTTATTTTTGTCTTTGTAATTGTAGTGTGACAGACCAGAATGAAACAAATCAAATTTGCTAGAATATCAAAATTTCTGCCAAGGAGAGCATAGGTTATTATGAACTGAAGAAGCATAAACCATGGTTCAGTGAAGGATGCTAAAAATTATTAAACCATAGGAAACAAGCCAAATTGCATTGGTTACAGGATCCAAGTGAAATAGACATGACATGAAACCAGCAGGCATTTCAGGAACAAAAAGAGGGAATATCTGAAAGACAAATTTGATGAGGTTGCAATGAACAGTAAGAACAAGAACATTTGAGGAGTGTATAGAGGAATAAATGACTTTTAAGAGGGGTTACCAACCTAGAAGTAACTTAGTGAAGGATGAGAATGGTGATCTGCTTGCAGATTCCCACAACATTTTGAAAAGGTGGAGGAACTACTCTCAGTTATTCAGTGTACTACATAGGGTCAGTGATGTTAGGCAGACAGAAATAGACACAGCTGAGCCATTAGTACCTGATCCTAGCCCTTTTGAGGTTGAAATTGCTATTGCAAAAGTAAAAAGGTATAAATCGGCAGGTAGTTATCAAATTCCAACAGAACTTATTCAAGCAGGAGGTGAAATATTATGTTCTAAGATCCACAATCTAATTAATTCTCTTTGGAATAAGGAAAATTTGCCTGATCAGTGGAAGCAGCCATTTCGTCCAGGCGGTAATTTATTAACTCTATGTTAAATTCCGCCAATTTACCTGGGGCCAAAAATTGGTTTTAGATGGTACAGTGACATTGCAGAATCGTTAAAGGGGGCAATAGCAACGTTCACATATGTAATCCAGGTACGGCAAATTCGTAATAATTGGATTTTGTAGCGTATGTAACCCCTATATTACTGAGTACATGTTTAAACAAAGAGAAACTAAGGTAAGGTAAAGTCCCTGTGCTTAACTAATTAAGCGTTACGCCATGAAGACATAAGGGGAAGTGGATGTATCGATCCACATTTTCTTGACCTCCGCACTGGTTGGAGGTGAGTGGTCAACTTCACGCCTAAATAGACAAAGTTGTGTTTTCCATGTCCTCGGTGACGTCACACAAGAGTAGGTAGTGATCACGTGACATGTGTTTCTTGTGATGCATGTCCGTTCCGCGGCTGTAGAAGTAAGAGTCTAGGAGAATTCAGAGCAGTTACGCGTGAGTATTAGTGGTAGAAGCACGAAAACAAGAGAATAGCAGTAACGTGGAGGAGGACAACAAGTAAGCAGTAAGCTGAAGAAGTGATGTAGAGTACAAGGAGTGAGCCTGCGAAGATATAACCTGAGATTTGAAGACTTTATATGTGCTAGAGTGCAGTGATATCGGGAGTGTGTGATTTAGGGAGACGTTTATATTTCCTGTGTTATTAATACTTTAAGACTAGTGGAGATAGATAGAAGAGATTAGCGAGGAGTGTTTGGTAGTGTGAAAGCCAGTAACAATGTTATAATTATTTGTAGCTACGACCTGTAAATATCCAATAAATCCAATTACAAATCCGAACCCCGTCTTTGGTCACCCGTAAACGGGACAATACCTTAAATTCCATCATAGGTACATATTTTAGTCCCTGCATAAATAATGCATGCATAACAAAAGGGATCCCAAAATTACACAAATGTCAATTTCACTTATAACGTGGGTATTAAAACTGTCCGACATTCTCTTTTATTGAGGGCCTGCTGCATATATTCTGCGGGTCAAAGATTTCACAAATTCTAGAACATTTCTAGAACACTGAGTCTGAGGTGACCCTAAACACCTAGGTTGGACGTTGGAGAAACAATTATCTTGAAATGCTTTTAAGAAGCCCGGAAGAATCACGTAACAGAGAGCAACGCAGCAGTGCCAACCTAATCTAAATAATGGTTTCGATGATAGGATCAGACTGGAATGGGACACTACCACAAATAGAATTATTGGCATTTTCAAAAGAAAAATTCGCAACAAAAACGCCTATTACCTTCAGCATGTGTGTCTGTCAGAATGTAACAGCTAGAAATCCGCTAAACAGGTCATTCCAGACAGCTTGCTCCATTACTTCACAACACGACATCATAAGTCTCATCACAGTTTTGCAATGGAACAAACCGTTACAGCGGAAATTTTAGTGATAAGAAAAGAACATAAAGCATCATTCAGATTCATTCGTCACTATATATACAGTAAAACTTGGTTATAGCAACATCGGTTTCTACGACACCTTGTCTATTGCGTCAAATATTCAATGGTACGAACTAATTCCTCATAAAGCAACTGTTTTTATACCTTGCTTAGTACGACATGCACAAATGCATCAACCTCGTATGTAACGTCATTTTCATTCCTGAATTTCTCTGATAT